GATCATAGTCTAGTGTATAGAGGTGGGGAGCAGACCTATGATCAAATGATTACAATGCAATGGGATTGGTGTAAAGATTATGTGTGTTCACATCAGAGAGATGGTCTAGTGTTAATTTGTGGTATCTAAAACATCCTGGATAGCTTCATGACCAAAGAAGTCTGCAATTTCAAGGTCACACTCTATGTCCTTTATATTGGTATTTTATAGAACATTGACATAAACAATACGAGGCCAAATAAATAATATAAAGTGATGAACAATCTTCCAAGATGGGCCAATTAGACCTAGAGACTGTCATCTCATTCATTCATTCATTCTGTATATTTGTCACTACCAAAAGGACTATCTAGTGTTGATTGCGTGTCAGGGACTGTGCCACATTCTGGGAATTCAAATATAAAAAAGATACACTGTTTGCCAAAGAGGAACTCACAGATAAATAGGGAAGGAGGACATGTAGGAAAATACTTGGTTTATGGGGGAGAGATATGTAACAATACTGAAGAACCAGAGATTGGGGGCAACTCACTCAGTCCAGAGGTGGGATGGGGAGATAGGTCAGTAAGGGTAGACTTTAATGAGTAAGTGACATGCGGGAGGTTGATGAATTGGATTTCACTTCCTGGATAAGGAGGATAGTGTGTCCTAGAAGCTATATCCTGTAGAAAGGAAAGCTTCTGAGATGTGTGTAGTGTGGCTATACCATTATCTCATTGGTATTTTCTAGAGATCCCTGCATTCCAGTGTGGAAAGTAAAATGGAATTGGGAACTAGAGGTAAGAAACAAGTTAGAAAGCAGATCAGCCCCTAAATGAAGGGGTGGGGAGTGAAAAGGAGTTTAGGATATAGAATTAAAAGAACTTAGTGACAGATTAGATATAAATTGTAAAAAAGGAGTAGAAAATGGATATGAGGCTTTCAGTTTTTCCAACAGGTAGTTAACTAGGAAATGAGATATTGAAGGAAAAGAGATTCAGCAGGTGAGAGAACATAATGAGTTGAATTTGGGGCATACCAGACATCTGCTTCTGGGACATCAAGGTGGAGTGACTAGTGGGGAAAGGAGCAGATTGGGGAAGAGGGTGAAGAGGAGAGGTTTTCTATGCAAGGGTCACACTACCCAGATGCTGTGTCTACTTTGAGAAAACGGCCAACCATGGAGGGGAATGAAGGAGATTTAGAATCAATAGCCAACAGAAATATAGGAGAAGAATCGAGATAGAGAACATTCAGGTAAACATTTTAATGTAAGATTGTGCATTTGGAAAACTGGCACTCTTCATCAACTTGAGCTGCTGTAATGAAATCCCATAAACTTGGCTGAAATGATTAATTTTTCACACCTCTGGAGCCTTAAAGATGCTAGCAGATTTTTTGTCTAGTTTGCATATGGCTACTCTGTTGAATCCCCACAGGGGAGAGAGAGAGAGAGACAGAGAAAGGTAAATTATGTTTTTCTTCTGGAACATTAATCCCATCATAAGGACCTCATTCTTATGACTAAATCTAATCTTAATTCTGTCCCAAAGGTTTCACCTTCAAATAATACCACCTTAGGCATTGGGGTTTCCAAATATGAAAATTGGGGGAGATGGTCAGACAGTCCATAGGACATTCTATCTACTACATCTTGTTTTCTTAAAGTTTGCCGGTGGGAGGATGAGGGGCGCACTGGCGGCCTGTTGGAGAAACAGGACCTCACCTCCTGCTGTCTTCAGTCCACTACAGTGAGGTCGCTTCCTCCCTCTGGCCCTGAAATCACTCTGGGGCAAAGGCCTTCTCCTTACCAAATTCAACACCCCTTCCTTGGCTTTTCTGTGTCATCTAATACCTCTAATCACTCTGTTGTATTTGCAATTCTTTTGGCTTCAGTGTCACCACTTTCTCCTACGTACATCTCTGACTGAAAGTTTGGCCTCGTTCATGCTTTCCTTTCTTTGCTGCTTCTTGAATAGTGTTTTTTTCTCCAGATTCTGTTCTTGCTCTCGTATTTTCTCAAGTCCACACTCTCCCCAGAGGCTGTTGTCTACACCCACCACCTTTACTGGTATCCACATGGTGATCTCCTCTCTTCTGAACTCCTGGAGCTGTTTAGATGTTTCAAAGGCACCTCAAATTCAAAATATTCCAAACTTATTAGCTTCTTTCCTGCACTGGCTCTGCCTCCTGTGGGCTCTCGCTCAGCCTCCCAGGCTGGAGCCCTGGCCAGCTCCCTCTCCTCTCCTTGCCAGCGCCTCATCACCACGCACTTAAAAGACTGCCAAATTTAGCTCCTTTTCATTTCCCACCCACCTCCTCTTTGTCATCCGATGCCTCACAGGCGGTTGGGAATATTAAGTGCCACAGCACATAGTTACAGTGCCTAGGACCTGATACAAATCTGAACTGAATTCAAACCAAGAAAGCAGCATTTCTAGGGGCTTATATAGCTTGGCATGGACAGAATATTGGGAATTAGAATTTTCTCTCAGGTCATTAAAGGCTAGTGATTTACACAGTGCACTGAAATAGCAGCAAGTCACTATGTACCATCTGAGGCCTTGAGAGATTTAGGCCACTAGGAGGCTCCAGAAGTCAGAGAATTGTTCTGACTTTCGAATTCTCGAGTGACTCCTAATGTAATGTAAGTTTCTGTTGGAAATAGTTGAAGCAAGGCTCTGGAATGCATGAGGTTTTTTTTGTTTTGGTTTGGTTTTTTGTTTGTTTTTAAAGAGCTCACAGTGCATGGATATAAATGCCTTCTATAGGATCTCCCTTTCTTGGGACTTGTGGGCTAGGTACTTGCAAACTATAACTCAACTTCCTCTTTTCTCCCTTCTGTAACCTTTTCGTCTCTGTGAGGAGGGGAGCTATTGTGAACCCAAGTGTTATTTTGTTGAGCATTTAACTAACTATGTACAAATGTAATGATGAACAATTCTCTTTGATATTCTCCAGTATATTGCAAATTGTTTATCACATATTTATAATTCAATGAAATTTGTTGCATTACTGTAACAGAAACCCAACTTACTCCCTGAAAAATTACAGTAAATTTATGGACTCACATAACAGGCAAGACTTTCTTCACTTCAGTCCAGTCATCCCTGCTATGTGGTCTGGGGCATGTCATGTCCTGACTGCCTTATATGTGGCTGTCAATGTGGTGCTTTTAAACCAGGAATGAACCACTGTGGCCAGGTGATGACTTTCTCTGAGATCGTAGCTCTGGTGCTTAATAAAATGGTGAGCAACTGAACAGAACACTGTCATTCTCTCAGAAGGCAGAAAGGTATAGGCAGCCAACAAATATCCATCACATGAAGCATCACTGAAATAAATGAAATGGAAGAGAGAACAAAGAAGGAAGTAAAGGGGTTGCAGGAAGACTCTAGGTCCTCCATACACAGGGAGAAGTGGGACCTTTGCAGTTATTCGTAAGAGTCTGTTCCAACTGCTAAAGAGGTCCAGGCTTCTGATAACTAATAGATGGACTGGAGAGATTTGAGAATGCAATAAATAAGTGTGCAGGCTGCTGAGGGAGGTATTCCTGGTTCTTGGCAACTTTAAATAGGTAACAGGCAGGCCTCCTCAGGAACCTGCATGCGTACCACAATCTGGTGACGTTACTTGAAATCACTAAGCTGTCTCTCTGCCCCAAACCTTTCTTTCCCCTTGGCTTTTCCAAGATAAACAAACTCTCTGCATTGATCAAGATTCCAGATTCTGCTCCTGGTCTTCTGTGGAACCGGTTTGAAGGTCCTTCCATTGATGCTGCAGCTGCCCCTGTGGCCCTATTTGCTTCTTAGTGCTGACCTCAACATTTTTCTGAAGAGATAGCTGGGTAGGTGGGGAACAATTTCCCCATGGTCTTCTAAAGTCTGAAAAGGTGGATTTTCAGTGGTTACTGATGTTGTTTGTTTATTGTCATAATTTTAGATCCTTTCACGTGCTATCCTCTCATTTTGCAAAGCAAGATAGAGAGAGATTATACACCCTACCCAAGACCAGCTACTAGGCAGCATCAACTGAGGCCACTGCAAACAGAACGGGGCCTCATCTTCAGGCTCCTGAGTCCCAGATGAGGCCGTCACTACCACAGCTCTTATAGCAGTTTTAATTGATGGTGCCACACTAATTGTAACCTTTATTTTTAATTTGATTTCTCTGCAGAATCCAGCAAAGTCAGGACTGCTATATAGCTTGTCCTTGTATGCTGATGGTCTGGTGAAGATTGTTGTTTAGTTAATCCAGTAATTTTGAATTTTAAATACATTCTGGCCAGACAAAATATATTCTATGAGGTTTTTAGGTGATAAAAATGACAGTAAAAATTATAACAGAATAAATTTTGAGGTAAGAAAACATTCTCAAAGAACATTAGATTTCTCATTGTAGTAATTTTCTGGCCTCACCATCAGTAATATTTCATGAGAAGAGGAAAGAATTAGGTTAATGCCAGTAATCTAAAAATTAAATAAATTAAGTGAATTAAAATAATTACTTCTAAATGTTACAGAATTAGAATCCTAATAAATAGTATTGCCCTATTGATTACAGATCAAGTGTAGCTTCAGAAAGCTGAAGTTATAAGCCAAGCCAATATAAGAGAAAAATCCCATTTTTTCATAAATATCAAAGATTGGTACAAATGGAGCTGTACCAATCGGCACAGAGAATGCAATGCACAGGACCTAGAAACTGGATATAGTGGACATTCTATTGTATCATTTCACCCATTTCTTCATATGAGAAGAGATAACTATACCAATTGTACAGGTGACAGAGTACTTTTTTTGTTGCCATAAATAAATGAAACAAATAGACCCTCTTATGCTGGACTATGTAATATGTGCAACTCATGCTTTCTATCTTATAAGAAGTTATTTCTATATGAAATCTTGACATGAGATTGAAATCGCGTGATTTAAAAGCAAATGGGAAAAAACAGCCTCCTACCCTAGTGCACAGCATTTCAAATTTCTGGCTGATTTATAATCCTTTTAAAGCCCATGCTATTAAGCAACTCAAAATTCCAGTGGCTGTATTTGTTTAGCTACCACTAACTCCTCAACTAGTCAGCCTGAGGCATTTTGCATGCTATTTTTCATTTTTTCCGTCTGTATTTTTTCTCATCTAGCTTTTTCAGGAATGTTATTCCTATTTCTGTTACACTGTCGCCTTTTAGTCTGTCTTGCAAGAATGCAACATCAGCATCCAAATGAACCTAGGAAAGAAAAAAAAACTCATGTCATTTAGGTTAAAGGAAAAAAATTCACTACATTTTTCCATCACTTTTTTCAGCTTTATTTACCCCACTAGGAGCTGACTTTCCTTACTGAATGATAAAAAGAGCTTGTTTTGTGGATGAAGAGCCCTTGACTGTGTGTCTTCCCCATATGGTCTGGCTATGTGTGAACTCCATATTGTGCGTCTGCAAAGAGATGGGCAGTCCAGGCCAGGTCCAACATGGAGGGCTCTGGGGCAAGCCCAGAGATGTGGGCCCATGCCAAGTTTTGCTCACTGAGCCGCATCATGACTCCATCTCAAGAAGAACATGGATTCTCAACTCACTGATAGCCTTGACCCAATATGCCTTGCAAGCAGAACTTCCAAGAATAAAAGAATCCTCTCCAATCGTCTTGCCATAAATATTTAAGCCCTAGCTGAATAGCATATCACTTGCCCTAACAATATTTAGCAATCACTTATAGCTTTGACAGATTTGAAGAAATACAGACTAAATAAATTATGAATATAAAACTAAAGATTGAAAATACAGACATGAATATTTGATACTGAGGCCCTCTTTTCTTCTGTAAAGCATAGCCCATTTCCCAGACATTTAAGTAAACCCAAAGGGCTAACTTCTCTGTTCATCAAAATATATTCACATAAGAGCAGCACGGTATTGCTCACCTACCCTCATTAGGTACCACTCAGCTATTTTAAGTGATTGAGAGTAAAGGAAATGAATAAGAGAAAGTACACAATAGAAGCAAATACTAATAAGTGGAAAAGCCTGGGCCTACCAAGCAATTAATTAATATAATTAATTAATTATAACCTTACCTGACTCATTCCCTTCTCTCACTAAGAATTCCTTGGCCAACCACCCTGCATTTGTGAAACCACAGACCTCAGTATGCCAAGTTACTTGGATCAAATAGGGTGCACAAACCATGTCTTTGTGAGCCCCCCACCCAATAGAAGAGGATAGATGGCACGTTAAAATATAGAAGATAAATTCACCCTTTTCCTTATAATATCTTTTTTATCTTTCTCAAAATTTAATGGGAAATCAATTAAAACAACAAGAAGACTACAGTGAATCTTTTTGGGTATTTGGGTCCACATGTGGTCTGATGCCTAGGTGTAATTCTGCATATATAGTCAACAACTATCCATGAAAGATGAAGACTTCTTTATCTTATCTTTAACTTGGTTTTATTTTATTTTATTTTATTTTTTTGGTTCATCCCATAAACTGCCAGAACTCTACCTTACTTGAATTCATGGCCATTGATTTTAGGACAGGCTTTGGAAAATGGTAGAGTAGAAATGTGGAATTTGGTGGGGGAAGGAGTGGGGAGAAAATGCGGACAACTGTAATTGAACAACAATAAAATAATTTAAATTAAAAAAAGAAATGTGGAATTTAGTGGTGACTAATACATTATTTCTATTGCTTTACTCTTTTGGATTACCTGGTATTATGTCCTTCCCCAATTATCACAAATTATTGAAATTATATGCAGGCCGTGTTACTGGTAAGCCAGTACGTGTCTAGCCTTGGGCTGCAATCTGGTCTCACTATTCAAAATAACTATGCTTTTGGAAAAAGGATACTCCCTGATTAGTACCTCTGCTAAGCTGCTCTTGGGCTGTCAGTCTTTGACAGAATGTCTTCTCCCTTCATTTCCCCAAAACAGCTTTTACCAAGGTCATTCCTGACCTTTTGGTCCCTAAATGTTGTGAATATTTTTCAGACTTGCTTTATTTAGCCTCTACTGTACTCGGTCTTGCTACGCATTCCCATTTGTTGAAATACTCTCTTTCTTGGTATTTTCCCAAACTCTGGTTGCCCCTTCTTGGTGTCCTTTACTGCCTTTACTTTCTCTAACTTACTTTGTTTTGTTGCTTCCTAGGGTTCCATCTGTGACTTTTTTTTACTCGAACCTCTCTCTAGATGCTCTTTGAGAGTTCCTGTGCCCTTCAGCCCACATCTCTCTGTGACCTGCAGGTGTGGGTAACAACTGCTTAGCGTGTCATCACTGGTGTGTGTGGACACATCGGTCCCAACAACTGCCTAAATGAGCTTCTCACTTTGTCTCTCCTGTCCCCAGAGGTACATCTTCTAGTTTTACTTTCTTGGTTAAGAGTACAACCACCCTATAGGTTGCTCAGAAACCTAAAAATCATTCCTGAGTCTTTTTCTCCACCTGTCCCTTTAGTCAACTGATTACTGAATCTTAAATCTGCTCTTCTTAATGTTGTTGAAATCGGTCTTGTCTCCCCTCCTACTGCCAGGGCTTTATCTGGTTTATCTTGAGGTTACCATGATCAGCTTCCCAACCGCTTCCCCCTCCCTCCTTAATTTCTTCTGTCCACATTCACTTTGTTGATAAAGAATGAGATTTTTGAAACACAAATTTCAACTTCCAGCCAAGATGGAAGTGTAGGTAGATACACTTTGTTTCGCTGCACAACCAAAAAAGGACAGCAACCTATTAACAAGAAAAAAACCTCCAGAACTTCCAGAAAGTTGAACTGTATTGTAGTCCAGAACCAAGGAGTTAAAGAAGAAACATTCATCCAGACTGGTAGGAGGGGCAGAGTTAGGCAGCCAGTGCAGAGAGGATGAGTGGCAAGGTGGAAATTGGCAGAGAAGACAGGATAGGTAGTGGCTGGTGGACCCAGAAGTCCAACATTCACATGTGGATAACTGGGGAGGAACAACTGGGGAGGGAGACATACTGCACAAAATAGGGTTCCAGTGCAGGAGAGTAAAGACTCAAATACTCTGGCTGTAAAAATCTGTGGGTGTTGTGGCAGTGAGGGAAACTCCCAGTTTCACAGGAGTGTCTGTTGGAGGGACCTACAGGGTCCTAAACTGCACATAAACCCATCTACCCAGGAATCAGCACCAAAAAGGTGAAATTCACTTGTGGGTTGCAGTGGAAGTGTCTGAAAGTGTGGCGAGAGCCAAGCAAGTGGCACTATTCCCTCTCTGATTCTTCCCCAACAGACAATTCCGCAGTGCAGTCATGTGGGTTACCCCACCCTGGCGAATACCTAAGACTCCACCCCTTACAATGTAACAGGTGCACTGAGACAAAGAAACATGGCCCAAATGAAAGAACAGATCAAAACTCGAGAAAAAGAATTAAGCAGTGAGGAGATAGCCAACATATCAGATGCAGAGTTCAAAACACTGGTAATTAGCATGCTCACAGAAAAGATTAAGTACAGCCACAAAATAAAGAAAGAAGTGAAGGCTGTGCAAAGTGAAATAAAGAAAAGTATACAGGGAACCAACAGTGAAGTGAAGGGTACCAGGACTCAAATCAATAGATTTTGAACAGAAGGAAGAAATAAACATTTGACCAGAACATAATGAAGAAACAAAATTTAAAAAAAAATGGAAAGAGGCTTAGGAACCTGTGGTACAACTTTAAACTCTCAAACATCTGAATAATAGTAGTACCAGGAGAAAGTGTAAGAAATCAAAAACTTATTTGAACAAATAATGAAGGAAAACTTCTTCAACCTGGTGAAGAAAATAAACATGGAAATCCAGGAAGCTCAGAGAGTCCCAAAGAAGTTGGAGCCAAGGAGGAACACACCAAGACACAACATAATTAAATTACTGAAGATTAAAGATAAGGAGAGAATCTTAAAAGCAGCAAGAGAAAAGGAGATAGCTACCTACTAAGGAGTTCCCAAAAGAATATCAGCTGATTTTTCAAAAGAAACCTTGCAGGCAAGAAGGGGCTAAAAAGGAGTATTCCAAGTCATGAAAGGCAAGGACCTACATCTAAGATTACTCTATCCAGCAAAGCTATCATTTAGAATGGAAGGGCAGATAAAGTGCTTCCCAGATAAGGTCAAGTTAAAGGAGTACATCATCACCAAGCCCTTACTATATGAAATATTAAAGGGACTTATCTAAGAAAAAGAAAAAATCAAAATTATGAAGAGTAAAGTGACAACAAACACAACTATCAATAACTGAACCTAAAAATCAAAAACAAAAAGAACTAAGGAAACAGCTAGAACAGGGACTGAATCAAAGAAATGGAGATCACACAGAGGGTTATCAGCAGGGAGGGGGAGAATAGGGGAAAAGTTACAGTGAATAAGAAATATAATTAGTAGGTAAAATAGACAGTGGGAGGTTGAGAATAGTATAGGAAATGGAGAAGCCAAAGAACTTATATGTACGACCCATGGCAATAAACTAAGGAGAGAGGAATGATGGAGGGAAGAGGGGTGCAGGGCAGAGGGGGATAAAGTGGAGAAAAACTGGGACAACTGTAACAGGATAATCAATAAAATGTACTTGAAATAAAATAAAACACAAATTTCAAAATATCATTCACCTGCTTATAAAACTATAATGGGTCTCCACTGTTTTCAATACAAAAATCTAATTCCCGACTTGTCATGTGAATCCCTTTATATATCAGGCCTCTGTAAAAAATCTGTATCTCCTTTCCCATGATGAGCCCCCTTTCAATCTACATGTCAGTCACACTAAACTAATTCAAGTTACTTGTTTCTCAAAGGAAACTTTTTTTGTGCCTCTGGACTTGCTGCTCCTTCTACTTGGAATGTTATTCCCTCTGCTTTTCTTACCCAAGGCTTCCACCTCACCTAATTCCTCTCTACCCTTCAGATGCCAGATCAGAGTTTTTTAAGTCTTTCCTGACCTTCCATCCAGCCCCAACCCAGGTGCTCCTGTACCCTCAGTCACACTGCTTTATAAATTTTATTTCTCTACAGGACAGAACCTTCGTGAAAGGCACCAGCAGTGTCTTGTTCATCTTTGTAAGTTCAGTGCCTGACTCTAGCAGGTGCTAATAATTGCCTTAGTTAAGTCATTAATGAAGGGTAATGTAGGTGTGGAAGCCAGGCTCCAAAGTGGCCTGCGATGACCCCCGCCTCCTGTTATTCACCCCTTCAGGTGTGCACCAGGGTTGGCAGCACCTACTGTGATTAGATGGACAAAGATGCCTGTTTAGCAAGAAGGAACTTCATGAAGCCTCTAGCCCACTGCAAGCAAGGCACTGAGGCCGTGTGAGTGGGCTTGAAGAGTACCAACAGATTCTCTAGTCTCAGTCAAGTCTTCAGAGACCGTAGCCCTGACCAACAGCTTGACTGTATGAGTATCAAGCTGCAAAAATCTCTCAGCCACAACCTCCCTGCTAAGCTGCTCCCACATTTCTGGGCCTTAGATTCTATGTAAGATAATCAACACTGGTTGTTTAAGCTGCTGGATTCTGGGGTGATTTGTTACCCAGCGCTACGGAACAAATGTACCCAGCAAAATGAAGTAGGAGCTTTACCATTTCCAGGGCACCTCTGATAATGCCACAGAGCAAATTGCAGTAGCACAGAGAGGACCGCCCAGCAGGGAGCTCTTCCACGAACTCCACCAGAGGATTCTTGTCTAGAATCAGTGAAAATTCATTTCTGCTTGAATTGTTACAGGCCACGCTTGGTGTGATTCCCAAGTACATCTTGAAAGCAACCTAATGAAAAAGAGCAAAAAATTACAAAAGCTTGGTCTAGAACAAATGTCTATGAGTAGGGCAGCCAAACACCCTGTTCCAGGCAGTGCTGAGGAACGGCGAAGCCCGCAGGGTTCACATCGGGCAGAAACATACTGACACTATGACTAGTGTAAATCTTAAATCCTTGTGTTTTCATGGAACTAGACTAGGTGATCTGAAGGGACTAGTTTCTGAGGAAACAATATAACTTTACAAAAGCGTTAAGCATTATTTCATAAAATCTTTTTCAAAATAAAAAATAAATGTCAAAAGGAGAAATAAAGGACAAAAATAAATGTCCTTTAGGAAGGCAGGAGATTGAAGTATGACTAATTATTAGCATGAATTAGGACAATATATTTGTCACACTGGTACATGAGATCATGATTTAGAAGGGACACATCTGCCATATTATCAATGATAAAGTGAAGGACGCCACAGTAAGCTTAGACTCAGAAGTACGTTTGGGAACTGGGGGTTGTCACATGACTAAGGATGGCAAGTCTCGCATAAGGAGCGAAGAGCAGTGGTCAGAAGCACAAAACGAGTCATGAAGTAGCTTCTCAAAATGTCTCCTGGTCTTAAAAGGCTCAAAAATGTTCAGTGTAGACATGGAGGAAACCTTGAAGATCATTTGTTTCATTCCCATTTTCACAAATGAGTGAACTGGGGTTTGGAGAAGTAAAAGCACACGGTCAAGGCCACACTAAACCCTGGTTCTGTGGCTACCAGTCCAGGGCCCTTTCCTTTCACAACACACAGGCCTGGGATGTGAGGTTTGTTCGTGGGAAGGTGGCAGCTTGATGGGTTACTGTCTTCAGGTGCCTTAATTAACTTAATTTTAAAAGTAACACCAGTGTAGGTGGTAAACAGAAATAATTTCCTTGATTATTTCTAATTAGAAGCACCTCTAATTAAGGCTCTTTATTCATCCGTTCACTCATTCAATAAATACCCAGTGAGCACTGCCTGTCTAGTATAGTATCTGGCGCAGTGTGAGTTCAATAACTGTTTGACTTCAATAGCATGTTTGGACCCAGAATACAGGTTAATAAAATGTAGTTCCTACTTCATAAGAGCTTATAGTTAAAAGGGGGCTGCGATATTAAGCAAACAACTGCAATGGTGTAGTAAGCCCTGCCGCACAGTTATGTACGGGGTGGGGTAAAAGTAGGTTCACAGTTGTGAGTATGTGAAACACAGATTTTGTTCTTATGTTAGTATTTATTATTAGTGTATTGTTTTCCATGTGAATAACTGCAAACCTCCATTTGCCCCACTCTGTATTATTATGAAGCAATTCTGGAAATAATCACAGAGAGAGAAACTTGTACCCAGTTCACAAATGCTGAATGAGACTTTTTCAGGGGAACAAAATCGGGGGGAGTGGGGGTTTCTAGGTAGAGGGAGCAGTTCATGGGCATGGAATAGCACGATAGGGCTCATGGGAGGCTGGCGCTTATCAACCTGTGGGCCGAGGGGAGGCCCAAAGCCATGAGTGAGCTAAGGCAGAATTAAATTTCTGTGTTAGAGGAAGCTCCCCACATGTCAGCTTGGAGGGTGAATTTAGGACGGAGGGTGGGCTGGGCATGAGGCCACAGGCAGAGATACCCACAAGGAGATCACTCTCAGAACCTAGGAAAGAACTGATGAGTACTCTCCTCATTTTCTCTTTTATTCAAAATCCAAAGGCTACCTAAACTTCTTCATATTAATTTCTAATAGTCCACATCTGAAATTTGCTTCAGGTCTCTGACACTAGCCAGCTTTAAAGGATATAAAGCGAATCTTCCACCCCTTAAGTCAAGTACCAAGAAAAAAAAGTCAGCACAAAACTCCAGGCTTGGAGATTGGTTTGGCTCCTGACCAACTGGCTGAAACACGTTTCTAGTAGTGTCGATTTCTCGGGCTGGAAAATTCCTAGACCTTTATTTGTCTGAGTGAGAATTTCTTTTAGATTTTCCATGCGTGGAAATAACATAACAATGGAGGCTTTGCCCTGTGAAGTTAATTCTCGGGCGTCCTGGCCCTTGTGTCAGAGACCAGCACGGAGCAGTAGGAGGCATTGTTTGAGCAGGATTGGGAAATATTCATTCCTCGGAAATGACCTTGTTTCCTTATCTGTCTGAATTCAGTCTGAGAAGGAGGACTGTTGTTGCAGATGAAGGACGAGCTCCACCCTCAGTGCCGGCCACGGCGTCTCTGCCAATAAATAAGGGCAAACCACTTCCCCTCTTTGTTTATCTCCAAAATGGATGCTTTCAATGGGATTTTAAAGTTTGTCCTGAACCAGAAAACTGTGATTGGCTACAGCTTCATGGCTCTGCTGACCCTGGGAAGTGAGCGGCTCTTTTCACTTGTGGCATTTAAGTGCCCCTGCAGCACCGAGAATGTGGTCTACGGGCTGGTTTTCCTTTTTGCTCCTGCCTGGGTTTTACTGATCCTGGGATTCTTTCTGAACAACAGGTCCTGGAGACTCTTCACAGGCTGCTGCGTGAATCCCAGGAAAATCTTCCCCAGAGGCCACGGCTGCCGCTTCTTCTATGTCCTGGGGCAGATCACTCTGAGTTCCTTGGTGGCTCCAATGATGTGGCTGTCTGTGGCTTTGCTCAATGGGACTTTCTACGAATGTGCCATGAGTGGGACAAACAGTTCAAGACTCTTGGCACTGATTTGCAAGCACAGGCCCAAAGAATGCTGGGAAGAGCTTCATAAAGTGTCCTGTGGCCAAACCAGCATGACAGCCACAGACAATGAAGAGCTGAAACTGTCCCTGCAAGCCCAGTCTCAGGTAAAAAAGGACCCTCTTGCCTTTTCCTCCCAGCTTGAATGAAGTATTCTCTCAGTTCTCCTTCCAGCCCAGGCTGAGTCTGAATCCTGCCAGAATACTTTGATACAAATGAAACTGAAGCCTGGTGCAGTGTGAGGCCAATCTCAGGGGAAGCTTTTAGGGGTTGGATGGCTTAGTAACATTGCTGATTGAATTGTCTTTTGCATTTCCAAAAAGAAAATAGCCTCTGGGATTTGTGTGTTCATAAATACTTAAGTACATTAAAACTATCTTTCTGGGTTGCCTTTATAAATAATGTATGATGTAAGTTAGAATTGAGTGTTAAAGACAGAGCTGTGATTAGAAATTACTGCTTTTGATCAATTATTTATTATTAAACCAGTTTCTGAGGAAAAAAACCTACAAATACAGCATTGGTCTATTAAAATATAGCTGAACCAAATGAGCTAATACTTTGCAAAGTTGTATGTAATATAGTTAATAGCAAGATTCCCTTGATTGATTTCTGGCAGCTTCTATGTCCATGTATAAATATTGCCAGGATTAAGAAATTTTCCCATATAACATAAGAATCACCAATCCTCAAACAGCATGCAGTGAAAAGCAATCATATTCTCTGGGGAGGGCACGTCCTGTGCTTTTCGTACTACACAACTGGAGAAGTCTTATGTGACTTTAGCAGCTAAAGATTTGGGGCATTATTTCATTTAACAGAAGGAAATGATAGCATTACCCAACTGACATAGGGAAGTAACTTGTCATGCTCACAGGGACATGAGCACAAATACAGATGTGAAACCTTGTCTCGGCCTCCAAAAAGGCTGAATTCCTACTTGGGAGTAAAAGGAAGTGCATTCCCCAAACCAAAACCAAGCAATAAGAGCAGATAAACAGATCCACAATTGCTCAGCAATGCTATTTGTTTCAGAATTAATGCATGGAGAATAGTAGCATTTTATTTTCTCAACCAGAACTTACCTTTACAACAATACAACAAGGCAACGTCTGTTTTTTAAAATCATGCATTCCAAAGCTAGTTGGCAGTACTGTCATATACTTTGTATAAACCGATAAACCCAAACATACCCAAAGTCTTTTGTGTCATGCATAAAGTACATCTTAGATAAGAACATGCCAGGCTCCCAGACATCTTCCTTCTTTTGTTGAAGGAAGGCATTAATTATGAGTGTTATGACACAATGAGGGATTTATAATTTATGTCCCCAGGCACCAGGCTCCATTCAGTTAGTGCCAGATTCAAACACTCATCAGCGCGTGAGCTTTTCTTCTCTAAACACAAACACAAGAAAACCCTGCACCTGCTGTCATAGCTTAGCTGGGCACACTGACCTGTTTACTTTTTGGCAGAATGAAATGGACCTGGAGCTGACACCTAGGGGCGGGTGCATGAGAGATGTGGACAAGGAGAGCTCTATCAATAGCAGGTGCTCTCAGTGGTCCAGATAAGCAGGAGAAACAAACAGTCTGGACTACTCACTGGCATGTGGGTGGGGCTAAAACAAGTGTTCCATCCATGGGTGGGATGGAGACACAAGCTGGATCCAGCTTGTGTCTCCATCACAGCTGGGTGGCGCTCTTTTTCTAAGGAAAGTAGAGTGTAGTAGCAGGTAGAATCCTTGCAGATATTTTTTCTTATTTTCAAATAGGCCCTCCCGCTGAGAAACACTAAGGGTCATTTTACTAAAATGTCAAGAGAAACTTAAAAAGACCTCTGTTGGTTGTCTAAATATGAAATCCATTCCAATAGTTTAAAAGTAATTAGAACAGCAAAGGCGTTTAAGAGATAACTTGAACAGTTTAGACTTCGGTTTTTAATATTCAGAGGGGAAAACCCAGATGAACCAGCGTATACTTAGAGGGGAGTTTCTTTTTCCTAAATATCAAAATGCAGAACCAGGAGCCCTGAAGGTCGGAAATGACTGCGATTGTTTCCTCAGCTTTTACCAGGGTTTCAATTCTTACCATTTCAGTTTCCTTATTGTATTACGTCTGTTTCGCTGTGTCGTGGATGAAGAGGAATGATATTTCTCTCAGAAAGCATTGCTGCTCCCTGCAAACAATAGAACTTGGGAAATATCAGTCACTAGGCCTGTGTATACATTTTTCAATGATTGAAAACACGTGGCTGAGGAACTGGTCTTTTGCTCAAATGACCACATTTACCCTTGAAAAACTTTTTTTCCTCTGATATCTAATGGTATTTGAAGGCTTGATTCATCAGATTGGAGGATAATCTATACTTTTTGTTTTTTTCTATTTGCCTGCCATCTGGCTATTTCTTTGCATGCCACTCATGATGAGTAAGTAAAATGAAGATAATTAGGTGAACTCTAACTGCATTCGACTGTTTAAAAAGTGTTGTTAAAATAAAAGATGAAGCACTTCAAATGAGATACAGCCGTGACTGCGGTTTTAATTTAGCGAAATGCTTCCCAGTCATATCCCCAGCTCCCTGAGAAGTGGCTTTGCTTTTACCTGTCCTGAATATTTCTTTCTTTCTAAGATTCTAGGATGGTGCCTGATTTGTTCAGCATCTTTCTTCTCTCTGCTCACTACTTGTTATGCTCGCTGCCGATCTAAAGTTAGCTACCTGCAGCTGAATTTTTGGAAGACATATGCACAAAGGGAGAAGGAGCAGTTGGAAAATGCATTCCTGGACTATGCCAACCAGCTGAGTGAGAGAAACCTGAAATGTTTCTTTGAAAACAAGAGGCCAGAAGTCTTCCCCATGCCTACCTTTGCTTCCTGGGAGGCTGCTTCAGGGCTGCATTCTTTCGACCAAAGCCAGCAATACTACAGCACCCTCCATAAGGTGGTGGAGGATGGCCTGGAACTTAGCCCTGAGGAAGATGAGACCACAATGGTCCTTGTGGGCAGCACTGACAATGTGTAGCTCATCTACCATTGCTGACTCAAGGCGTCCAAGGGTTCATTTCTTCTGACATCTTCTTACTGCATCAACAGCAAACTCTGAATATCTGTGTTTTCTCATATTTTCTGTTTACAAGATGGTAACACAAAGGGAAGCAGCTTTGCAGCTCCCAAGTGCTGACAGTGTCATGATGTGCTCAAACGGATGCTGAGCAACTAGTCGGTCAAGGACGTTGACAAAGGTGCTTTTGCACTGGCTGGGGGTTGGGCTCAGTCTCTTCAGTTCTAAGATTTTATGATTGGCCAGAAGACTCATGCAGCTAGGTCTGCCCCTCTATGTAAATATGGGTCATGGCATCTGGGGGCAGAAGTGGCAGCTTTTGGGTAAGCCAATTACTCTTAACAGACTACTCTACACAGTGGGATCAGCAGTGTGGTCAGCAGCAGACCTTGTTCTGTAAATCTAGCCTACTGCTCTTCAAGGCTGTATGAAGTTCCAGCATTCAAAATTCATTTCCTCAGAATCTGAAGACATCAGTTCTCAAAGATGATATATGGAAAGGATATAACGCCTAAAATTCAGACCTTTTCACAAGTTTCCAAAGTGCAATGAAGGTTTGCCCCTGCAGGCAGGGTTGTATTTTGACTTTTCTGAGCTCTAGGTACTTTTGCCTTCGTGAACCCCTTTCTACATTAAAATACACATACACACACCAGTATATATCCATGGCTGTATTGATATAAAGAGAAATATACTTGTATAATGGACAAATATTATACATCGAACCATTGTTTTCAACAAAAAAAAGTTCATTCATTTCCCTTAGGTTTCCTAATTTTTTAAATAATTTCTAAAATGTCTTAAATTTATTTTCAGAGACAGGAAAGGGAGGGAGAGAAACAGTGATGTGGGAGAGAAACATAATCTATTGTGTTTCGCACATCCCCATCTGGGGACCTGCCTTGCCACCCGGGAGTGTCCTGACAGGCAATCAAACCAGTGACCTTTCTTTTTGCACACCGGCACTCAATCCACTGAGCCATGCCAGCCTTATACTAAACTATTTTTTTCAACCAAAAAGGTACATTTATTTTCATCAGATTTTATTTTTCTATACAGTTTTTTTATATGTTTGAATTTATTTTCTTCAGATTTAAAAAAATATTAAAGACACTTCTGTGGGCCCCTGCCAGTATCACAGGCACACTGCTTACCGTGCTGAATGGTCAGTCAGTCCACACTGGCGGTCTGGGAAACAGATTAGAGCAGTGCTGGTGTAAAACCGTTTCACAGTTTTGTTTACCAGAAATAATGCAAATTCTGAATTCTTTATGCTGTGGCTCACACCTTATATCATTGAGAGTTCCTGTCTTTTAGATAGAGAATCCTGGGGATGAACCAGGTATTACTATGGGACAGTCTCCCAAACTGGGAAAGTTCCCTATAGGTATAAGGCCCTAGAACATAATCTTGGGAACTTGGAGTTATGGGGACAGGGAGGCGTGTGTGTGTGTGTGTGTGTGTGTGTGTGTAGGTGGGAGAGTTGGACAGTGGGGACTGTGAGATTGCAATAGTTGAAACAATGCGTGTCAGTGATGTGATGAATATTTAACAAAGGCTCCAAAAAAAGGCTTGATTTGAAGTATTTACTAATTTCTATGGTGCAATTTCAAGTCACCAAAGTAATGTCACTGAACTCAGAGTTAGGAAGAGATGCTCCCATGAGCCCTCTGGGTTTTTTGGGGGGGAAATATATTTGATTGATTATGACATCACAGTTGTCCCATTCCCCCCTTTATTTCCCTCCACCCTGCAAACCCCCTCCCACCCACATTCCCCCCCTTTAGTTCATGTCTGTGGGTCATACATATAACTTCTCTGGCTTTTCCATTTCCTATACTATTCTTAACTCCCCCTTGTCTATTTTCTACCTACCATTTATGCTACTTATTCTCTGTACCTTTTCCTCTCTCTCTCTGCCACTCCTCACTGATAACCCTCCATGTGATCTCCATTTCTGTAATTCTGTTCCTGTTCTAGCTGTTTGCTTAGTTTGTTTCTGTCTTTTTTTTTTAGGTACAGTTGTTAATATCTGTGAGTTTGTTGTCATTTTACTGTTCATATTTTCATCTTCTTTTTCTTAGATAAGTCCCTTTAACATTTCATATAATAAGGGCTAGGTGATGATGAACTCCTTTAACTTGACCTCATCTGGGAAGAAGTTTATCCACCCTTCTATTATAAATAATAGCTTTGCTGGATAGAGTAATCTTGGATATAGGTCCTTGCCTTTCCTGACTTTGAATACTCCTTTCCAGCCCCTTCTTGTCTGCAAGGTTTCTTTTGAGAAATCAGCTTATAGTCTAATGAGAAATCCTTTGTAGGAAACTCTCTCCTTTTCTCTTGCTGCTCTTAAGATTCTTTCCTTATCTTTAATCTTGGGTAGTATAATTATGATGTGCCTTGGGGTGTTCTTCCTTGGGTCCAACTTCCCTGGGACTCTGAGTTTCCTGAATTTCCTGGAAGTCTATTTCCTTTGCCAGATTGGGGAAGTTCTCTTTCATTATTTTTTCAAGTAAATTTTCAATTTCTTGTTCTTCTTCTTCTCCTTCTGGTACCCCTATCATTTGGATGTTGGAGCTTTTAAAGGTGTCCTGGAGGTTCCTAAGCCTCTCCTTATATTTTTTGAATTCTTGTTTCTTCATTCTGTTCTGCTTGAATCTTTGCTTCTTCCTTCTGTTCCAAATTGTTGACTGAGCCCTGTTGGTCACTATTGGTTCCCTGTAGATTTTTCTTCACTTCACATAATGCGACCTTCATTGCAGCCTGGGTCTTTTTTATGCTGTTGAAGTACCCAGTGAGTTCCTGGGTTATCCTGATTACCAGTTTTTTGAACTGTGCATCTGAATAGGTTAGCTATCTCTTTGTTGCTTAGTTGTATTTTTTCTGAATCTTTGATCTGGTCTTTCATTTGGGCCATTTTTTTTGGCTTGGTGTACCTGTTACATAGAAAAGGGCAGAGCCTTAGGTATTCACCAGAGCAGGACAACTCATGTCATTGTGTTGTGGTGCTGTATGTGGGGGAGGGGACTGAGAGGGAACAATGCTGCTTGCTCTGCTCTCTGCCAGATTTCAGTCACTTCCCCCACTACCCACAATCAAACTGGGCCCTCCTGGTGCTGGTTCCTGGGTGGGTAGGTTTGTGTACATTCTAGGACCCTGTGGGTCTCCCCACTGAACCCTTCTGTAAGGCTGGGAGTTCATCCTGCTGTCGCTTCAACTCCACAGGTGTTTTCAGCCAGAGGTTTGAGTCTTTATTTCCCCACACCGGGGCCCTGGGTTGCGCAGTCTGACTTGCTCCCTAGTTGATCCTCACGGTTTATCTGCTCGTGAATATGGGACCACCCAGTCCAGCAGCTGCCACCTTGCCAAGAGTCCTCTCCACCAGGCTCTCAGTCTCCACTCCCCCTATCCGTCTGGATGAATGTTTCTTCTTTAACTCCTTGGTTGTCAGACTTCCATACAGTTCAATTTTCTGTCAGTTCTGGTTGTTTTTCGCTTTTAAATTTGTTGTTGTCCTTTTGGTTGTGTGAGGAGGCACAGTGTGTCTACCTAAGCCTCCATCTTGGTGGGAAGTCCTCTCATGAGCTCTCTTGAGTCAGCATGAACTTTCACAGAAAGTTTTACAGTGAGAATTTCTTTTTTGCATTTACATTGACTCTAGCCAAATCAACTTCAGAGTATCTTTGGTACATGTAGGTTTTAGTTTAATAAAACATAACCATAATGAATTAAATATGGCTGTCCAATGGCTCCAACAGAGAGATGGAGTCTTATTCTTCTGCCCTTGAATCTGGCCTCAACCAACCAATAGAATGTAGTAGAAATAAAGCCAGATCATAAAAGCATTACAGCTTATGCCTTGGTCTCATGCAATGTTCAACCCGGTGAGAGCAGGACACCATGCAAACATTCCCATTACTCTGAGACCCCCAAGCTGTGAAGAGGGGTGGGGGGAGGGAGAGACAGAGAGAGAGAGAGAGCAAGAGAGAAAAACTGACTCTTGGCCAGCCTCAACTGTTCCAGTCATTCTGGCTTAAGTGCCAGACCTGTGAGTGAAGAACACTTTTGGAAATTCCAGTCTCAGTGGATATGACATGGAGAAGGACCAGGAAATCCAACCAACAGACAGACACAGACCCCAGAACTATGGTCCTAGTGGAGCCGTTCCAGGCATCTAGACTTTTGAGCCACCTTCTCTGAGGCTGCAGACCATATATAGCAGTTCTCACTCTGTCCTGTCTAAATCCCTGACCCAGGAAACTATGAGCTCAAATTAATGTTTATTATTTTAAACCACCAAATTTGGGGGCACTATGAAGCAGCAGACAGACTAAACACTAACACATGAAAATGAGACTTTTTTAAAAGACAGCTTTTCAGAATTAGAAAATAACCATTTTGCAACTCCTAGCAAAGTCGATCTAGGTAATAAAAAATGAATTTAAAACTGCTAGGAGAAAGGATGATGGGTGAGAACTATTCAACTTAAAACCATTTATCTATCTTGGCATCCCTAAAAATGACACAACTGGAAATTATGTGCCTCCCAATGTGAAGCAATTCAAGAGGAAGTACACAGTACCACCTGTGCAATAGTTTTCTTAAAAAAATTAAGTCTGAATGTAATCAACCATTTAGACCTAACTACTAGTTCATAGGAAATATTGGCAAAAAAAGCGCCCAAATTAATTAGCACCATGAGGAAGCAACCAAATGAATCTAGAATATAGGACATTCTACTGGTCATATGACTCAATTTTTCACAGACCAATGGCATAAGAAAAGGAGAATAAAAGAGACATAAAAGACATAACAACCAGAGGAGCAATCTGTGTACCTTATTTGTATCCTATTTCAAACAAACACTAAGCCACTGCTATATTCCTGTTCTAATTTCCTTAATTCAATAATAGTTTCTAAAAGCTCAAGTAATTTCCTCCTGTTGCAGCTCAGTTGGTTAGAATATTATCCCGTAAAACCGAAGGTCGTGGGCTGGATTCCCAGTCAGGACAGATGCCTGGGTTGAGGGTTCAGTCCTCAGTCCAGGCTTGCACCACACATGGCCAGTAGGTGTTTCTGTCTCACATTGGTGTTTCTTTCCCCTTCTCGCTCCCTCCCTTCACTCCTCTCTAAAACTGATAGGCATGTCATCAGGTGAAGATTTCTCAAAAACTCAGTGAATTTTGTGGTACTTCTTGTTTTACCTATTCCTACTCACTCCTTTCCTTCTGCCCTTCCACGAAACCAGAACAGAGTCAACTCCTGATTTCTTGACATTTGCAGCCTCTCCCCTGTGAGGGAATTAGCAAGGAGCAGTGGAGCTTCCAATAAGCATCTCTTACGTGGAAACTGCAGGAATCAAGAATGTTCCCCTTTGTGTGGCTGCTGCTTTGATGATTAGATATTCAACCCAACCTCATCATTGCCTAGCATTCCCACAGGAGCCGAGGCTGCCTTCGGAGCTGACACAAGGGTCTGGCTCCGCTTCTCGTCATCGAGCAGTGACTTCTGACTAAGCCTTAATGGAGCCCAAAATGTGTACTGAGCCATAATGAGATTTCAGGAGAGGCGCAAGGGCAAGCTGAGCTGGTGAGGCTGGAGCTTGAGCAGAGAGAGTGACCCCAGAAGGAGGCCTGTGTTACTGGTGAGCAAGGCAAGTGCCAGAGGCTTTGGAGTCACTCCTTTTAGAATTTAATCAAGAGCATTAGGTTAG